GGTCCTGCACTTCGGTCACAACAACCCCATGCAGCGCTACTGGCTTGGGGCAGAGTGGCTGGAGAGCTGTGTGGTAGAAAAGGATCTGGGGGTGTTGGTCGACAAGTGACTGAACATGAACCAGTCGTGTTCCTAGGGAGCCAAGAAGACCAATGACCTCCTGGCTTGTTATCATGGAACGAGTTGTGGTGGGGGTGAGTGACACAATGCACTTCACTCATGGGAAAGAAATAATAGTAGGTTTTATTGATAATGACAACGGTTTCATGGAATTCTATGGCAAGACCACTTATTTACTGCATGGAGGTTCAAGATACACACAGAATTATCAAGGACACCCTCCTGTTGGGTCACGAGGTTCAGGTTGGACCCCTTTGCTTTCCAAACTCCTGAGAGGAGTTTAGGTGTGACTGGATCCATTCCAAGTCCCAGACCTGGCCAGCGATTTATGACTAAAGGATTTGTGCACAGTTACAAAGTAAAGTTTACGAGTTCAGAAAAAGAAGCATGCTACAGTCACTTACCACGAATCTGTAGTGGAAAGGATCTCTCAACCCTCAGAAGTATCCTCGAGAGGAGTCCCTGCTCAAGGGGAGATCCTGGTGAGCAACCCGCTGTCATGCAAGGAGCGCTCAATGGGCTCTTGGGCTGTCTCCATATTTATGGGATAAGATGATTGACATATAGTTATAATGTGGTAGTTAACACTTGAATAGGGTTATATGTGAGAAGTCAGGATGCGCTGGGGAAGGAGCACATCCATCACACTTGTATCAGGAACAGCTACACCAGGGAAACGATCATCCCCCTGTACGCAGCACTGGTGAGGCTGCACCTCGAATACTGTGTTCAGTTTGGGTCCCCTCACTACAAGAAAGACATTGAGGCTCTGGAGTGTGTGCAGAGAAAGCCAACGAAGTTGGTCAAGGAGCTTGAGGACAGATCTTATGAAGAGTGGCTGAAGGAGCTGGGAATATTTAGTCTGCAGAAGAGGAGACTCAGCAGAGACCTTATCGCTCTCTACAGCTACTGGAAAGAAGGGCAGGGCTTGATCGCTTCTCCAAAGAATTTCTCACAAAATAACTACCAATAGGACAAGAGGAAATAGTCTCAAGTTGTGCTAGGGGAGGTTTAGGTTAGATAATTAGCAAAAGTTCTACACAGAAAGAGTGGTGAAGCATCGGAACAGGCTGCCCAGGGAAGTGGTGGAGTCACCATCCCTGACAATGTTCAAGAAACATGTAGATGAGGCACTCAAGGATATTGTTTTGCAGGCATGGCGTTGAAGGCTTTACGGTTGGGCTTGATGATCTTGAATGTTTTTTTGCAATCATAACGATTCTATGATTTTAAGTGCCTCATCACTCACAGAAAAGGGAGTAAGATCCTGCTTTCCTCTTTACCCTACAAAATACGACTGGAATCTAGGCATAAAGGTGCACACCCCCACACAGCTTTTGCTAGAACTCTCCCAACATTCCTGC